CATGACATCAGGCGGTACCCGGAAGAATCAAATGGGCAGTGACGTATCTCCAACGAGGCGTTTTGGGGAGGTATTTTCTGTGTTAGAGTTTTACTCGCTACAGGGTGTACTTTGAGGGTTTTGACTCTGCACACCGTTTACATGCATAAAAACCTTCATAACACACAAGGGGACGGGTAATAACCGGAAAAGCATGACATGGGAGCTTTAAATTTATTTTGTTGTTAGTCCAATTGTTTCTGTTTTGTTGTGAGCTTGTTATGTTGTCTCATCATACCGGTGGAGGAGAGTTAGCACGTACATTTACTCAAGTGCTGTACTTAAGTAAAGTACAAGTAACTCAACATTTTACTTAAGTACTTCCATTATTAAATGCTACTTTATGCTTCTACTCCATTATATCTCAAAGGTGAATATAGAACTTGTACTCCACTTGATATATCTGACATGCTGTACATGTCACTTGTTAGACACTTTTATTCACAGCGACTTACATACATTACATTCTGTGGAAAACTATTATATCCCACTGCGCCACAGCCTCACTTTAGGTACTTTTTCAGATTGTGCATTAAAAAACATGTGATAAACCTTTAAGGTGATGAATCCTTCAAGATTAAACCAGTGGAATAACTGTTTAATGTACAAAAGGTAAACAATTATCAAATGCTTGATAAGGACAGCTGTAAACAACACTATTAACTCCAATAATGTCATTTATATTATGAGATATAAGATATGAAAGACTGAGGCAGAATGAGTACTTTAACATTAACAGCAAATGTTGCTGTTAAGCCCTCTGTATTTTTCATTTCATTTAATCGTTTATTTGAAGAGGGACAGTGCACATTGATGAACATTTAAAACAAATAATGGTTTAAAAACGTAAACATGCCGGATTTTAGCTTTGAGCTAGTTTCCATCCGTAGTCCCTCACATACAACATTTAAGAACATGACATTTATATACATAGCAAAATAAATACATGATATGCAGAAAGAGCATGAGCAGAGCAGCATATAAGCATTTACCACATGGCAGTACAATGTAGCAGCTACGAAATATAAAGTGCTGTATTTATGCTTGAGTGAGGTTTTAAACACAGGAGTTTTACTTTTAATGGAGTACTTTGACATTAATGTATTGGTACTTTCACTTAAGTTAGGAACTGAATACTTCTCCGACCCCTGCATCATACACTTGTGTCTATTGGGTTTATTTCTGGTCTATACTAAATAAAACAATATACAAGTTCCCTATACTCTTTAAAATAAAGCCTATAATTAAAATACAGGAAATGAGTCAATGGCCTAAGTTACACAACAGCTTCTCAGCAAGCCAACAAAAATTATGTAAAAAAGCTTTAAGGTGTACCATCTGTTAACCGCCTACAGTACATATACAATATAATGTTTGACTCCTCTTGCCTTTTTCTGATGCAGATCACTAAACTAAAAGTTATTTTTTAGCCATCTGGATGTGACATTTGAGTACTGTCATACATGTGAGATGTACTTTGAACTAGAGGAGGTACACTTACGGAAACATGTCCTACTATAACAACATGTATTACAGTAATGATTACTTTTTATTACATTAAAAGATCATTATCACTGGAGATCTCTCTGTGGCAGAACATGGTGAAATGCTTTGAAAGGCAAAACAGTCAAATGTCTGTTTATGTGATAATGAAAATAGAAAGACGAAGGAAACATCCCTAAACAATGCATTTCTTTCACTCATGCAAACCCTTGGTGGAGTTTTAGTGCACCGCCATAAGAGAAGATTGTGTTTCTGATTACGGCTGGTTGACGTAATGTTTACTCATTCATGTTGAACTTTGAATTTATTGCAGTAATTGAAATTCAGTGTCATTACCAGAAATGGATGTGATGTTTGCATAGTATTTGCATACAGCTCTCCCCCCCCCCCCCCCCCCCCCTTTCTTCTCGTCATGATCTTTTTTTTTTAGATATGTTTTAGTAGTTCACATTTGCATGTTCTTGTCATATTCATTTCACACTTACAGTAAGCCGGAAACATGAAAGAAAGTCAGACAGGTGGATGTCATCTCTCGCAAATTATGTTAGTTTAGTTTAGTGTTTTTGTCTTTGTCTAGTGATTTTCCCCTTTATTTTTGAATAGTAACCTTCCCTCTCGTTTCAGATACTCTGACCTCCCTTCCTTGTGTGTCTCCCACACCTGTGATTGTCGACCGCGCCCCTGATTGTTTCCACCTGTTCTCCATTACCTGGTGTATTCATTTTCCTCGTCTCCCTTTGTCCTCCTGTGCCAGTTTGTTTCGTTTCTTGTGACAAACTACCAGCGTATCATGCCAGGAATAATCCCAAGCAGAGCTTTGAGCCACGTCTTGTTGTCTGAGTATTTCGTTATTCATGCTCCTAGTGTTTTTCCTCATTGAGAGTGACTTTGTTTTGAAACTGTTTTTCCTCGTTAAGAGTAATTTAGTTTTTGACCACTGTAGTAGAGCTTTGGTTTGAATAAACCTTTTTTGTTAAAACCTGTGTGAGTCGTGCATTTGAGTTCAAACCCAGTCGTAACAGGGGATTACAAATATTCGTCCTACTGACTTTTCCGTTATCACTTTTTTAAACTAATGACACAAAGTAATTGTCAATAACAGATTATACAATGACTATGAGTAACAGAGGTGACTCTTCACAATAAGACTGTCTCATATTTCCACTGAACTGAATCAACCTCCACAATTCCCCCTTCATTTATGATCCACTATTGACTTTAGGCATTGTATATTCACCCACAATACAAACAGACACCCACACGCTGTTGTGCCATCGGATTATTTCCATGTTCTTTATATTCAGGGGATATACCATAAACTTTGCAAATAAGAAAAATAAAGCCCTCTTTGCCTTTTACATACGTGAGAAAAAGAAACACTGTTTATGTGGGTGGATATCCACATACAGTACACAGCATATATACAGTACAATATCGTTTTTAATCTGAATGAGCACTCAATTTAATACAAATGTGACATGAGAGTTACATACAATGCATTCATTCTTTAGTCGAACATTATTCAAATGTCACTTTGTGAGACATGTAAAGAAATAGCTCAGGTTGAACGGTGAAACAAACACACAATGGTTAATGTGAACAAATCATGATGCAAGCTAAGTCAAGATAAATCATTCATTCAACCCTAATTTACTCCTGAAAACGTTTTAATAGTATATTAAGGATTGTATTATGGTAGCCAGACATACTATAACTTATCTATACATTTCAAAAGGTGGAATCTCATTCCTAAAACATCGTCTTTTAAAAAGAGCTTAAAGTGCACATCATTAATTATGAATTATATGCAGAGTTTATACAATTATGTGGTAAAAAAAATAACTTAAACTGACCACAAACCTTCAAAACAACACCTTAATGTATGGCTTTACTGAATGAAAAGCTACGGTCTCGTAAGATTGTAAATGAAGGGGTGGTTTTTGGTTTTGGTCAGTCCTAATGGAACGTTATACCCTTAAAGTATGCATACAATCCATTCATAACGCCATGATATATTAAATTCCAATATATTTTCAAATATATTTTTAATGGTATTTGAAGCCATAAAATACCTTAACTTCATTTAAGGTTGAACAATGACAGGGATTTGCTTTGATATGATTAAGGTGTGGAAAAGTTTCCTATACAATACTTGCTGACAGTGCAGGTGAAGTGAACCGTGTGAATAACTGACGGGTAGTCTGGTCCACTTTAATGAGTAACTAATGGGGGGAGGGGACACTAGCCAAACACTAATTCATTCATTCATTACCCTTAGTTTAAAAAAAGGGAGTAACTAAAATATAACTTGTGTATATGGTCTTGTTGCATTGATCTGCGTTAACGTGGAGCCGGCTGAAGACTCAAGACTTTGCGTCTAACTGAGGGCTCGCTCTTTCAAGGCACCAACACAACTAAGAAAGGCTCCTTCTATACTCGTTATTTCATGTATTTGGTGTGATCAGATACAGTGCATCACCTTAAAAATAATTGTTATCAGGGCTGCAAAATATATTAACAGAAATGGACAAGTGCAATATCCAAATCTAAGCAAGTGCAATGTTTGGTAAAGGCAAAATATGTGAACATATTCTAAATGAAGTATCGTGTATTCTAATCATGATTAATTACCAGTATACTTGTATTTTGGATGGAGATACAACCAAAACATGAGTGGTGGTGGTGGTGGTTGAAAAATGCATGACAAACTGATAAGAGAAATTGTAGGGTTTTTAACCTTTAGTATTACATGATTTCTGAATTATGAATTCCCACAATTTTCCGACACTTTGCTAAAACTTTGACAAGCTGCCATCACTGAGAGCTTCTTCACTCCTGTGCAACTTCAAGAAACTGGCTATCGCTTGTTGGTCAAAATGCCTTTCCTCCATCTTCACCACACCTAAAGCCAACAGGTGCATCGCAGCAGTTACAGTTGAGGTAGTTATGGCTGCTCACTGATGTCCGCTTATCTCAAGTCAATGCAAAGCGTGTCTCTTGTGCCGATTCCTATGTTATTTTTTGGCTTTTCACTGCCATGTGATTCATGATAAACTGGTAGTTCGGGAGCAACTTTGGGCCAAAATTGATAATGTGAATAAATTGCCCTAATTCTTTTTGTAAACAGGCTGAGGTCTCCAGATTTATCACGAGTGTTTGACATTGACATCTTATCTTAATATAAAAAATTATATATCTTAATTGCTTTATCAGCCAAAATCATGGCACTTCCAAATTGTGCAACCCTTCTGTATTTAATAAAACAGATGTAATCAATACTTTTATACTCACAATTAAATGACAATAGGAGAACAATGCAAAAAAGGTCGCTCCTTATGGATCTACTTAGACTTATTGCCCAAATCTACCATTCCCCTCAGAGCTTTAGTGAGTTTCAGCTCATTGATTAGTTGTTCATTTACCTCTTTATAGTGTCTTCAGAAATAAAAGTAACACTCTTGATGGATCAAATAATCCTTTTATTTGTCAAATAAATCATACAATCACAAGTCCTTGCTTATGGCATTACCATCTTTTAAACCAACGCCAAACATACATTGGTAACTTCAATGGGAACCACCATACCAACCAGTCTGTTCTTTTCTATTAACAAATGTAAATAAACTGTATTTAAGGCCTGAGATAATGTGAAAATCCATACATTGATACTGAATATTTCAAAAAACCAAAACACATTGATTTGTTACAAACTTAGAATTATTTCTTTTAAATGACATATTTACATAAATAATGTATCTATAGACCAAGTCCAAGAGAAAAAGCTCCTGGGAATCATCTTAGATTACTGAATTATCACAAAACACTTAAATAACATTGTAGCAGAGGTGAGAAAATGGAGTTGCTGCATTTAAAATATGCAAATTTAACACTCAGCAGTATCGTCACATTTTACAGTAGATTAAATAATGAAACAGAGCAAAGCGAAATAAGAATACAGAACAGGTGATGTTGAAATGCATAATTGTCCATGTGGGTTATTTGTTAACAATCGTTTGGCACATGCATTCATTAGAAAAAGTTGTGTTTAGACTCTATGCTATAGTCTGACATTTTATAAAACTGAAACAAAGCATAAACGGAACATACTAAGATTTGCATTGAGTTGAGGAAACCGAGAGTCTGCAGCAATGCAAATGTGCTTCTATTTTCTACTAGTGCAATGTTTCACTTCCCTGTTTAACTTCCCTTTTGGCTGCAGGCCTTTCGGGGAAACATGTTGACAGATATTGCACCTTATCATTTTATCACACAGCAACTTTTATTGACATTTACTGTAAATCTTTTCCTGAATTACCCTGATGATCACTTGCGGGATATATTGGCATTTCTTCAAAAGCTAGTTTCCGCATTTCTGTTGGAGGCAGACTTACAGTAAGGCACTTATTGTATACAAAGATATCCTTCATTAACCTTTTTTTCGTTGATGGCTTTTAAGGATTGTTGTGGCTTCACACCTCCCCTATGTGGCATTATAAAGTGTATCTTTATGAAATTAAACTACAATGATTCATCTCTATATTGATCTTTCAACTTGTCCTTTGGACCAACAGATGGAATTAATCTTTCCGCCATAACAATGTCATTATAGTTCACAAATCAAAGAGAATCAATGCCCTGACAAATGATACTGACATTTTAATGAAATAATTTTCAAATAACTGATTTAGCATTTTAATATAAAATAAATATGAAATTGATGTGATCACTGAATATGCATAGGGAGTCCAATATGGCACCACACCGGTATCAAACATTATGCTAAAGCTAACAACAGAGTAGCACATAGTACATTTCCACTCATCTATGTGCACTTTTGATTAACTGTACACAAGAAAGCTATTGTTATGATTGCGAGCTAGTAGGCCTACATTGTGCAGTCTGACCTCAGTCACTGCAATAACTGTCACAAACTGGTTGACCATTAACCCCGGCTAAAGTGCTTTGGAGAAAGCTAACTCAAGGCAAATGAGCCCTCCATCAAAAAAAGAAAGACTGAGAGGGAAGTGAAGGTTTCTCATGTTAGCTGCTTCCAGTGAGACCCCCCCCCAACATTATCCATTGCATCCAGTGTGGTCAGTTCTTGCGAACTTGAGCGTAGAGGTCGGCGATTTCAGGCTGAGGAGCCGGCCTCTTGTTGCGCTGTTGGTGAGCATCGTAGGTTGGGAGTGAGGACGCAGCAGCACGAGGATTGTTGTTCACTCTGACCTCAGCGTAGTCTGACGGTTTATTCTGGTCTCCCATCTGGACTGTTTCCCCGTTATTGTTTTTGGTAAAACTGACATCTGCATAGTGCATCTCCTAGGAAAAAGAAAAAGAAAGGAAATGAATGTAAGATTACATTTACAGTTACATTGGATTGAATCATACCTCAGTGGTAGGCGTCAGCATGTTATCGTCAATAATCAACTCTCTCCAGCTCTAGACTTAAAGAGCAACTTGCAGGGTTTTTTTTATACTACATTTATGCTTAACCTTGCCTGAAAATTTGAATTAAAAAAGTTAATGCAGGATTTGATATGTTTTACGAGACATAAGGGCAGGAATTCAGAGGGGAAAGGAGCCGTTTTGAGCTCTGCTACTAAAAACTGCTTTTTTCAAATGCCATACGTCAAACGCGTCATATTACGTCACATGGGGGAGCAACTTTCTCGGACTCCTTCTCTGCCCAATCCGCAGTAGTAGTTTGTAGTTGGTTTGAGCGGTTGTGTTTTAGTGAGTTGGTATTTTTTCGGTAATTTTACATTGCATTTCACCATTTTTAATCATGGTGAGACTCCAGACGTAGTGTGGAATTGCATTAGGTAACGCGAGATACGGCTGATACTTGTGCATTCGTTTCTGTTATGGATCAGTATCAACAGTCCTGCCAGTAACGTTACTATATTATCAATACTACTTTAGTTATAGCCTGATATATGATAGCTAACTTTACAATGTTGTGATGTGACCGACGTTAGCTAACATTAACTGTAGCTAACGCCGGTCACTCACCAAGACAGCTGCCCTGTTCTCCACTGATTCTCCTCACACCACAGCTCAATTTCTCTCCGATGGCCGTTATTTCTTCTAATCCTTGGCTGCTCCTGGTCTCTTGGCCGCCTAGCAGGCTCATAATGATAAGGTTGTGGTCCGTCATATGCATACGAATATACATTTTCAACCTCTTCTGTGTCAAAACTAGCATTGTGAACCATGTTTATTAATACATTAGACCGGCCGCTCTCCCCCATGTGATGTTACACGCGGGTTGTCTTTTTTTATGCGGAAGTAAAAATGTCTTATAAAAACGACGCCAGATGTCACTGTAGTGTATATTTATGTATATTTTTTTGAAAATCTAGTGTATACATCATTTTCCTACACATTTATTTACTGGGGTCTCTAACCTGCAAGTTGCTCTTTAAGCACCGGAGTACCACAAGGTTCAATACTTGGTCCACTTCTTTTTACCTTATATATTATTGACCTGTCATCTGTCTGTCCTGATGTGGAAACACAGCTATATGCCGATGACACAGTGATATATGTGCATGCCGATACAAAAGGCTGCTGCTAAACTGACCTCTATCTACTTGTCTCTCATCCTTTTTTTATAACTAATGCTGTTGATGTATTGTGATTTTAAAAAGGTGTCTATTATCATCTGGCCGGGGACAACAGCTGGAAATTAGCAATGTTGGCTAAAGCTGCCCCATTTACTGTTTGTTGGGACAGTTGATCAATGGGGACTGTCCACAACACTATAAACAAATAAACTAAACTAAACATCACATTTGATGTAAAAAAAGAAAAAAGGAGGTAATCGTTAACAGGATAAGCTATCTCTATAATGTTGATCTAATGACACATATTCACTTCTTCTTCATTGTGTCAGCTTGATATCTCATTCCTGGTTCAAAGTCTGATGTTCAGCCATGTGTTTACAACATCTCTTAGTAACCAGCAGAGCATGTAAACGACTATGATAACTTTTACCTGACTTCTTGTGTACGCCCCGTTGTCCTGGCCTTCATCTCCTTAAAAACGTGAGAAATAAACAAAGCTTAGAATAACTCAATGAAGGACAAATACCTCTGTGAATAACAAACTCATGTTACACGTAATAGACTTACCCGTTCTGGGGTTAGGGTTTCCAGCAGCAGTATTTTTACCTGGTTTTCTGTTTAGAGAGATCATTAGTCATTAGTCTCAGCAACATAATAATGATACAAGCAGCAATATATCTAGTTATTGGTATTGCAAGCATGATAGAAAAAGTAGTTATTTCTTCATAAGAGCTGCCACTTTAATTTGATCTGCATCTATAGTCCTGAAAGTATTTGTTACGAATGATTTACAAGCAAAGACTTTCAAACAGTAATGTAGAGCTCTATAAGGGTCTCACCATACTTTAACTCATGGTGGTGAATCATATATTCCATCAGAGTTAAATATTTATACCTTACAGAAACAAAATGTTAAACTTTGAAGTTGTACAGTGTTGAAGTGCGGCTCCATTGTGAAATAACACAAACGAGTCATAACTAAAGGGCTTAGGAACATATGGAGAATATATAATAAGAGCAGGCCCTTTGGTGAACATCAACCTTTTGTAGGTTGAGTAAACAAGGTTGTTACACACAATGTCTACACCATTCTGGCTCCACATTTTCTGTCTGATATCTTCCAATGTGCTGATCCTGAATCTTCCTCCTGCCTGGTTTTTGAGTCAAGCTTTTGGGTCTAAACTTGGAGATACTGAGCCATCACCTTTTCCAAACTTGTAATTGAGTATTACTATGAAAATAGGTCTATGTTATATACTTAAGATATTTTCCACTTACTGTTTGTAACAAAGGAAGTACCACACAATAGCAGCTACAACACCGAGGACGACTAAAACTCCGATTACTATTCCAGCGATGCCACCACCCGACAAGCCTTGTGGGCCTTGAATAAAACAGGATAAAAGAACATGATTTTAATATTATTCTGTGAACAGGAACTGTCTCATTATCTCAAAATGCCTGTGGATAAAAAGCTTATTACATTTTTCCCAATAGGATATTTCAAAGCCAGTTATAAAAACCTGTACAATGATTCTGTTAAGAGTTGATTATGTTGTTTAAAATGCATTTTAAATTACCATAAGCCCTCGAGTGCAGGCTCATTTTCTAGTTCCTGTTCTATCGATGGCATTAAAAGAAAACGTATAAAAGCACATAAACACAATTAAAGCACATTAGAACAGAGAAAATAAACAATAGAGCCATCAAAAGAAAAGCACATGCACAAGCGCAGACAAATCCTTATAGGCAACGACAATTAGAAAAAGGAAAACACATAACAACAATTAAAATAAGGAGAGCATCTGATTGTTTGATTTGATGTATAGATTGGAAAAATAGTTGTTATGTTCCTTAGATCTTAAGGTACGTGCTGCCAGTTAGAATAGTAGTTGTACTTTTACTGAAAGGTATTTTACAATCCCCTCCGCTAGTCCTTCTAGTTAACGAGATTTTATTTTGTTTAATGAATGTATTGAACGGAGAGGGGGACAGAGAATTCTTTTTTAAACACATGTAAATTATCTGCAAATTGATCATGTTTCCTTAGTTTAAAATAATCAAAATTGATGACATCAATTTGACTTTTATAAATTGTTTAGAGCCTGCTTACATATGTTCTTACTGACTTTAATGTGCTCCTACCTGGCTTTGTTAGTGTTACAGTCAATTCATGGACCACAGATGAGTTTCTCCTGGTTATATCATTCATCGCTTTACAGTAGTAGTTGCCACTGTCAGATAATTCAGTGTTGTTTTTATAAATCACAGCAGAAGTGTGCATCACTGCCCCATTCAGCGTCCAGGTGTAATTCGCAGTTGGTACAGATGCAGCCGAGCAGGTTAATTTAAATGTGCCTCCAACATGTATCTGACTTGGACCTGTGATTTGAACTGTTTCTGGTCCATCTGGAAAACAGATATTTGGAAGAATTTATTGTTCAATAGTTGACTCAATAATCCGATGTATCATTGTGAACAGTAGAGTTATAGTTTGTTACCTACAGTTAACAATCATGGGGTACTTTGCTTCCTCGCTGCTGAGGGGGTTGCTGATATTACAGGAATAATCTCCTGTGTCGTCTTTATTCAGACTGCTAAAAGACAGCTCTCTGTTGTTGTTGGTGAGGGTCATGTTTACAGTCAGAGTCAGATCTAAGACACCCTTTCTCCACTTTCTGGTAAAGACAGAGCCAGCAGCGTCACAGATTAATCTGAAAGATTTCCCCTCAATCGGCAGGTTTGATGTAGATGTGACAGAAGCGCCGGATACTTTCTCTGTTGGGCAAAAGATCAGGTGAAAGATATAAAAGCAGGAACAAAAGAAGCTGATTTAATGCCTGAGTTAATACATATAAAAGGAACAGTTTATTTTTATAAGATGCAAACATGTTACTACTTCTCCCTGAATAATGTATATAACATGCTGAGTGTCTGACTGCCCTCATTAAAAAAAAATGCACCGCGTTGGACAACCTATAGCTCAGAAATATCATCTATACAAGAAGTACATATCATCACGTGTTCTTAGAAAGATAGTGTGTTAATTAACACACTGAATAACAGAGAAGAAAACAGATTATTGTAGCATTTCTTTGACAACTGAATCAAAACAGTGGGAGTTTAAGGAACTAAACTTTTTCAGGTAAAGAAATAATCACTATTTGAAATGATTTAACTGTTGTTAACAAACCTTTAGGAACACATCCAGAACATATTGAGCAACTGATCTTGCATCAATATGGTTTATTGATGGATTCTCTATATTAGTCTCAAATACTCACAATAGTAGGAATTGAATGCTTTAAGTTAAACAAAGGTTTTATTTTCTGCCTTTTTTTAACTGATATTTTATATTAAGGACAATTGATTTGAGTACACCTTTCTTTTCACACCTATATGCATTAACCCTCTCAATGCAAACTTACCCAGTACAGAAACAACTGAAGGCTGAGACATTTCATATCTCAGAGTTTTGTCGTTGAAGGCCTGACAGCTGTAGTTCCCACTCTGACTGATCTGAACGTTCATCAGACTGAGATCTGATCCAGTATCAGACAGCTGGGCTCCATTCAGAAACCACTTAAATACAGCAGAAGGTCTGGAGTCAGCTGAGCACATCAGACTGATGTCTGACCCGTTCTCATAATATTTTTGTGGCTGAGATATTGTCAAATGCGTTTTTTCAGGACCATCTATGTGCCATACGGGGAGTAAAGAAATGAATTAAAGTAATGCTGGCAGCTTAAAGACAATGTTACGTGACAGCTTAGCTCAGTGTGAAGCCTCATAATACCATCAACTTTAAAGCAATGTGCAGAATCAAATGTATGCACATATGAGAAACTCACAGTAGATGGTGAGGTTTAGTGGATCACTGGTGCCATTACTGATAGGATTAAACACCTGACAGCTGAATGGTCCCTGGTCGTAGCGGGTCACATTAATTATAGTTAAAGTGGAGTTTCCATCAGTGATCTGAACTCTGTCACTTCCTGTAACCTCAGAGCTGCTGTTCAGCCAGAGGAAAGAGAGAGAGGATCCAGAGGAGGAGCAGGACAGACTGACGGAGCTGTTGAACTCCACCAGCTCTGTTAGTTCTGAAGTTACCACAACATTGGAAACAAGTGCTGTGGGTGGAAAACACAGGGGGTTTACACTGACCAGCTTTCTTGCATAAGAAGTTGAGTGGAGCAATGTTTAACCCCCTAACCCTAACCCTAAGGGTACTATGATGTGTAATTAGGGTTAGATGTTAGTTTGACATTTGGATATAAACATGTTGCAGAGCACACAGCACACAGCACACACAGTGACATGTGTTCTCTGCTTTTAACCCATCCTAGTACCAGTAGTCTAGTACTAGGAGCAGTGGGCAGCTATTGTACAGCGCCCGGGAGCAATGGGAGTGGGGGCATGTCCAGTGCCTTGCTCAAGGGCACCATGGCAGGGCAGGAGGTGAACTGGGACCTCTCCAAGTAGCAGTGCACACTCCATATGTTAGGTCTGTTTGGGGACTTGAACCGGCGACCCTACAGCTCACAGTCAAAGCCCCTACTGACTGAGCCACTGCCAGATTAGTAAATATGTTTAATCTTAGCTTGTCACTCCATGTATTTTTGTGTGACTCCATACACTTCTATTCTCAGCCTCAGTTGTTCTTGTAAAAGCAAATATTGTAGAACTTCCTTCGTTGCGAATGCATTGTTTCTTTTTGTAACACAAATGTTTGTGATGAACATTTTTTTAAGACAGTTGCATCTGATGCTAAAGTCACAAGTACTGTACATCCCATTTGTATTTGTTTTCTTTGCACAAACAACTTCTTTTCAAACTTACCCAGTACAGAAACAACTGAAGGCTGAGACATTTCATATCTCAGAGTCTTGTCGTTGAAGGCCTGACAGCTGTAGTTGCCACTCTGACTGATCTGAACGTTTATCAGACTGAGATCTGATCCAGTATCAGACAGCAGGTCTCCATTCAGAAACCACGTAAATACAGCAGAAGGTCTGGAGTCAGCTGAGCACATCAAGCTGATGTCTGACCCGTTCTCATAATATTTTTGTGGCTGAGATATTGTCAAATTAGTTTTTTCTGGACCATCTATGTGGCATACGGGGAGTAAAGAAATGAATTAAAGTAATGCTGGCAGCTTAAAGACAATGTTACGTGACAGCTTAGCTCAGTGTGAAGCCTCATAATACCATCAACTTTAAAGCAATGTGCAGAATCAAATGTATGCACATATGAGTAACTCACAGTAGATGGTGAGGTTTAGTGGAGCACTGGTTCCCTCACTGATAGGGTTAGAAACACGACACTCGAATGGTCCCTGGTCGTACCGGGTCACATTATTTATAGTTAAAGTGGATCCTCCATCAGTGATCTGAACTCTGTCACTTCCTGTAACCTCAGAGCTGCTGTTCAGCCAGAGGAAAGAGAGAGAGGATCCAGAGGAGGAGCAGGACAGACTGACGGAGCTGTTGAACTCCACCAGCTCTGTTGGTTCTGAAGTTACCACAACATTGGTAACATTTGCTGTGGGTGGAAAACACAGGGGGTTTACACTGACCAGCTTTCTTGCATAAGAAGTAGAGTTGAGTGTTTTGAATGTCTAATTCTCCATGGTCAGTAATAATGGCGTTGAACATAAACATGTAAACATGGGAATGTTCAGTTACCTGTGATCCTGCAGTTATTCTTAGTTTATACTTTACAGTTTTTACTGATAGTCTTTTACCAGTAACCGGTCTAACAACGTTGATGCATTGATCATCAGTTAAGCTAGTCACCAGATTATTAAGCATGTTTAAATATTTGATTTTATCCTGTTTCAAAATGTTGCACCAAGCCTAGTACCTGGTGCAACATTTTACCGGTGTCGGCTGACCTTACAGGATATATTGTCCATTAGCCACAGCAACATTTACCTTGGTTATACAACAATTCAAGTTTTTGTTAGCCTAATACTCACTCTGAATGGCAATTTTATATATTTTATCACTGAAAAACTAATTTGAGATTTGAAAGGTGATTTTATCTGTTAACAGAATATTTCTGCCATATTGCTATATCAATGTGTTTAACTATGATTGTCCTGCATTGTGTGTATTAGTTGTATCTGCTCGCCACATATTTTGCTCTGCTGCTGGCCACTTCAGGAAGTATTTTTGTGCGACTTCATACATTTTTATTCTCAGCCTCAGTTGTCCTTGTAAAAGCAAATATTGCAGCACTCTCTAAAGTGGAAGTGCATTGTTTCTTTTTGTCCCACAAAGGTTTTGCACAACCTTCATTTTATCTAAGACAGTTGCATCTGATGCTATAGTCCCAAGTACACCCCATTTTTTTCATCGGTATTTCTTTGCGCAAAAACATATTTTCAAACTTACTCAGTACAGAGATGGATGCAGGCATCGACGTCTCATATCTCAGAGTCTTGTCGTTGAAGGCCTGACAGCTGTAGCTTCCACTTTGATTTATCTGAACGTTCATCAGTTTGTGCTCTGGTCCATCAGACAGCGCGCTACCATTCAGAAACCACGTAAACTGGGCAGGAGGGTTGGAGTCAGCTGAGCAGGACAGGACGATGTCTGATCCTTCCTGATGGTGTTTTTCGGGCGGAGATATTGTCAAATTAGTATTTTCTGGGCCATCTGAATTTAGGGGTAATACAAAAGCAATAAGTTAGTATTCACAACTGCATTATTATAGATATACAAGGATCTTATATTACAGCAAGCATGCAATGAACAGTTTCTAAATATAAGTATCCAATTTACAATGATTTAGTTCAGACTGTGCTGTAGTGTGCAGGGAGGATGTGCTGGATTCAAATAGGAGGGGAAAATGTGTTTTAATATTTTAGAAACCCATGCGTGACCAAAAGGACAACAAAACAAACTGACAATTATCTAAACTCTGTTTGCATTCAGATCTTGTTTGGTAAATATACTGAGCATGCAGGTTAGTAACTCACAGTAGATGGTGAGGTTTAGTGGAGGAGCACTGGTGCCCTCACTGACAGGATTAAACACACGACACCTGAACGGTCCCTGGTCGTAGCGGGTCACATTATTTATAGTTAAAGTGGATCCTCCATTAGTGATCTGAACTCTGTCACTTCCTGTAACCTCAGAGCTGCTGTTCAGCCAGAGGAAAGAGAGAGGGGATCCAGAGGAGGAGCAGGACAGACTGACGGAGCTGTTGAACTCCACCAACTCTGTGCTGCTGGAGGTTACCGTTACATTGGAGACTGGCTCTGTGGGTGAAGCACAACAAAAAACATATTATAAAATTACAGTAGAAAATAAACACTGAAGCCGATGGGAGTGAATATCATCTTAAAATGAAATATTGATTATTCATGGCTCCACATTGAAAGTTTATACACGTTCCTTCCACTAAAAAAAGCAACTAATAAAAATGCAGAAAAAGTTGCTTTTTTCTGCATTTTTATTTGATGATGATAGTGCAAAGAATGAAAAGCCCTATATCATTGTTTACTTGCTCAATCGCTACACCAAACCTGTATTGAGCATAGAAAGAGATGCAACATGTGAAACTTCTCTCACCGTATACGTTCAGTCTTGTGGTCCCTGACTTTGATGGTTCTCCAAGTAGTGAAATGGTAACTGTGTAATCTCCACTGTCATTTAGAGCCAGGTTCCTGAGCTCCAGAGATCCAGTAGACATGAAGAAGGTGATCCTGCCTTCATACTCTGGTTCAGTGAAGTTGTTAACGTTCCAAGTAAATATATCTTCATTACCAAACTTCCAGGTCACTGATTGAAAAGTTGTTCCTGGAGTCAGTGTTATGGTGAACATCACTTTCCCTCCCACAGCTGCATTCAGAGGACCGTCTGGCAACACACCAGCTCCTTCAGTTAAACCTGGAGAGAGACAGTTAGAGGTCATTGGAAAATAAGCCCTGGGACGAAATCCTTCATAACTCCAGTATTCCATAATACTGTACAGTAGCATCAATGTCTAGCTGTTTATAACAATTTCCAAAAAAATGTGGATGCTTGTAAATCTTAAGCATTTAGAAAAGATCAAACGTTTGCCACTTCATTCCCATATTGAAGTCTATAGGCAAAAAGTGTTTTCTTTTCTTTTAGTCTTACAATGAGATCAAATTAGCAAGATACCATTGTGCTATCTATTTGAAAAAGCAACAATCGATCAAAATGTTGATTCACATAATGTTTAATAAAGCTACATTTATGTTTACATACATTTTGTTCACTTTGTATTTGTATAAGTCAGAAAATAAACATCTTGATATTTCCTCAATCACATGCAAAATGCCTTACTATAAGTAAATGTTTTGTTTCAGCAATTAGGTTTTATCAGTCCTGCTTTTGGTCTGCTAACCATGCTGCTTTTGGTCTGCTAACCATGCTGCTTTTGAGTCACAAAATAATGAAAAGTAGACCTCCTGATTATTAGCTAAACTCCTTTCCAAACACTTTTTAACAATTCAGCAATTGTTATAAAGTATAGGAAGTCATAAACATAACAGCAGAAGATGGAAACACTTTTAAAAACCAAGATTCTTACCTGTGAAAGCCAGAGAGACTATCCATAGTAAAGCGAAAATATCCATTGTTGGAACTCTGTGAGATATCAAATGCAGAGGAAATGTCAGCCATCAAACTTTGACTGTCCTGATAAATGTGAGCCTCTTGCCGCTCTCAACATATCAGTGAGGAAATGCAGAACTACCTTCGTGTTGAGGTACAAAGTTTCTGCATAATTAGTCAAACCCTGTGAAGCTTCAGACATGTCCTAAAGCTGCAAGACATCGTCCTCTAGTGGTGTTAAAGTGTTTGCATGCCATACTGATGGTTGATAAAGAGACGTGAATACTACTGTGGTATTAATAATCAGACTACAGCTGATTTACATCAAACATTTGGTGAGGCCTATTTACTTTAGGCAAAACTTTGTACATAATCACTTACGGCATATTCTTTATTAATAATAATATGCATGAAAGAAACTAAGTAGTTGGTATAGATCTATCAATTTTGCTGTTAGACCAAAGAAAACTTGAACATTGAAAACACTCAGGAAGCTTCTTGAATTCTGTATTTCGAACTTCAGAGAGAACAGAGATTATTTTGTCTGCTGCAGTTTTGTGTTTTGTAGAGTTTCTACAGTCGATCCTCTCTCTCTCTGTCTCTCTCCAGGTTTAACTGAAGGAGCTGGTGTGTTGCCAGACGGTCCTCTGAATGCAGCTGTGAGAGAAACAGTGATGTTCACCACAAATCTGACTCCAGGAACACCATTTCAATCAGTGACCTGGAAATTTGGTCCTGAAAATATATTCAGATTCTATGGTAGCAACCTCACTGCACCAGAATATGAAGGCAGGATCACCTTCTTCATGTCTACTGGATCTCTGGAGCTCAGGAACCTGGCTCTAACTGACAGAGGAGATTACTCAGTTGACATGTTTATAGCTGAAGCACGACCACAGTCAGGGAGAACAAGACTGGACGTATACGGTGAGAAAGTTTCACATGTTGCATATCTTTCTCTGCTGAATGAATATGTGCGTAGCGATTGAGCAAGTAAACAATGATATAGGGCCCTTTATTGTTTGCACCATCATCATCAAATAAAAATGTAGAAAATGTTGCTTTTTTTTGGATGGAGCTTGTAAAAACTTTCAATGTAGAACCATGAATAATCAATATATCATCTTAAGAAGAGACTTTAGCCACTTCAGTGTTTTCTTCTACTGTAACTTTATAACATATTTGTCGTGTTTCTCCCACAGAGCCAGTCTCTAATGTAACAGTAACCTCCAGCAGCACAGAGCTGGTGGAGTTCAACAGCTCCGTCAGTCTGTCCTGCTCCTCCTCTGGATCCTCTCTCTCTTTCCTCTGGCTGAACAGCAGCTCTGAGGTTACAGGAAGTGACAGAGTTCAGATCACTGATGGAGGATCCACTTTAACTATAATTAATGTGACCCGCTACGACCAGGGACCCTTCAGGTGTCGTGTATCTAATCCTTTCAGTGAGGGAACCAGTAAGGAAGTAAACCTCTCCATCAGCTGTGAGTCACTAAACATGCTCACTTTTTTTATCTTTCTTTTAATTGCTGTTTTGTTTTCCTTTACATTCAGTTGGCCCATCAATTATTTATGACAATATTTCCTGTGCAAGACTCATAATACTACGATCCCTTAAACTCTCCACTGTTTTGATTCTGTTGTCAAAGATCCTAAAATTAATTAAACTTCTTCTCTGTTATTCAGTCGGTAAATTCTCATTTAACTCAATGTTATGCTCTTCTCATAGAGATTATATTTCTGAGCTACAGTATAGTTATTTAAAACTGATAACCTATAGCAGTCAGACACTCCACACATGATATACATTATTCAGGGAGGAGTAGTAAAATGTTCGCATCTTATAAAGAAGAACTGTTCCTTTATTTGTATTAACTCAGTCATTAAATCAGCTACTTTTGTTCCTGCTTTTATATCTTTCACCTGATCTTTTGCCCAACAGAGAAAGTATCAGGCGCTTCTGTCACATCTCCATCAAACCTGCCGATTGAGGGGAACTCTTTCAGATTAATCTGTGACGCTGCTGGCTCTGTCTTTACCAGAGAGTGGAGAAAGGGTGTCTTAGATCTGACTCTGACTGTAAACATGACCCTCACCAACAACAACAGAGAGCTGTCTTTCAGCAGTCTGAATAAAGAGGACAAAGGAGATTATTCCTGTATTATCAGCAACCCCCTCAGCAGCGAGGAAGCAAAGTACTCCATGATTGTTATCTGTAGGTAACAAACTATAACTTTACTGTTCACAATGATACATTCAGATTATTGAGTCAACTATTGAACAATAAATTCTTCCAAATATCTGTTTTCCAGACGGACCAGAAACAGTTCAAATCACAGGTCCAAGTCAGATACATGTTGGAGGCACATTTAAATTAACCTGCTCGGCTGCATCTGTACCAACTGCAAAATACACCTGGATGCCGAACACCGGGGCGATAGTCAATTCTGCTGTGATTTATAGAAACAACACTGAACTCTATGACAGTGGCAACTACTACTGTGAAGCGAGGAATGATATAACCGGGAGAAGATCATCAGCGGTCCATGAACTGACCGTAACACATACAGGTAGCGAGTTAGTAAGAGCACATTAAAATCAGAAGGAACATATATTAGCGGGCTCCAACAAATTATTATCATTATTATAAAACCGGCACCTTTATAATCAGAATTAAGGAACGTGACATCTCTCAAAATCTTAAACTCAAATCAAACAATCAAACATGCTGTTCTAATTTCTAGAAGTGCTTATGATTTAATCTTTTTTAATTCTCTGTGCCTGTGAGCTTTTGTTTGCTCTTATGTGCTTGTGCTTATTTGTGCCTTTTATCCACAGGGATGATGAAGAGACAGTTCCAGTTACCAGAATGATGTAAAAGTTATGTTTTATCTCCTGTTTTATTTTAGTACCACCAGGCTGTTCGGGTGGTTGCATCGCTGGAATAGTAATCGCTGTTTTAGTCGTCCTCGGTGTTGTAGCCGCTATTGTGTGGTACTGCTTTCATAACAAAAAAGTAAGTGGAAAAGATCTTAAGTATATTACATAAACCTATTTTCATAGTAATACTCAATTACAAGTATGGGAAAGGTGATGGCTCAGTATCTCCAAGTCTAGACCCAAAAGCTTGACTCAAAAACCAGGCAGGAGGAAGATTCAGGATCAGCACATTGGAAGATATCAGACAGAACATGTGGAGCCAGAATGGTGTGGACATTGTGTGTAACAACCTTGTTTACTCAACCTACAAAAGGTTGATGTTCATCAAAGGGCCTGCTCTTATTATATATTCTCCATATGTTCCTAAGCCCTTTAGTTATGACTCCTTTGTGTTATGTGTCATTGGAGCTGGTTTCTGTAGAAATATTTAACTTAGTTTATCTGAAGGAACCACTATAGAACCACATTATCAGACCACTCATTGTAACATACACTTGATCAAAGCTCAAACTCTTGCCATGAGTGACACTTCCCTCTTTTCACTTCTCGTCCAACAGGCCGTTCAGAGGAAGAAGAGCTTCACAACATAATGACAAGGCGGCTCTGAAATGTTATCACATTATTATTTAAAATGCTTTTTCTAATGTGTCAGCAAACTCTTATCATTTACAGTGTAGTAATACCATGAATTTCACATCTTAAAGGTCACCTATTGTGCAAAATCCACTTTTTCATGTCTCTTCTACATCAACATGTGTCCCCTCTGTGTAAAGAGACTCTGAAAGTTTCATGAAAAAGGATTCCCCCCCTTATCACCTGAATCTCCTCCTAGAGCACCATTGTGTGGTGGATCAGTCAACTCCAGCAGAGAAACATGTCCATTTGTGAATTGTAAATATGTCAGAGCGGCTGGTATAAAACCTAATTACATAAAGAAAAATTGATGTAAGGACCAGTATGAATGAATAAATAAATGTATGAATGTTTAAAAACTTAAACTAAGGTATGACTTCATGAATAGACAAATATTTATTTTCCTGTGTAAGTTTCAGCTCTAATGGCCTTTTTTGTTTTTGTTTGTCTATGATTTTTAATGTTTATTTGTGATATGACTGTTGTATTGAAAAGGAATTAAGAGGGATTTTGAGTCCATGAATTCAGTAAAAGAAGAGTGGTAACAGAAAAGATGTCAGAATAACATTTCAACCTAAGTTTCTGGCAATTTATCATTTTGATCTTAAAATGATTAACAGGATAAATGAAATGTTTGGGAGCTGGTGACTAGAGACAAAGTCAAAAGATCACTGAAGTCATTGTACTAATCGTCACAAGTTTAGATATTTGACCATAAAAACTTCAACCACACAGTAGGGCCAGAAGATAAATCAGAAGATCGTCAACTTTTAAGTTTATAGCAACCAATCAAACAGTTTTTTAAATATCTTAGTCCCAATCAAAGTCAGACATTGCCATTTTTTTACTGTTTTCTGGCGCCCCAGCTGCCAGAAGATTTCAGTTTTTTTGCAAACATTTTTTTACAGTGTACTTAAATTCATCTACATTGGAAACTTTTTGACATTTTGAAATGTTTTGATTGCATTCTTGTAATCGATTTACAAATACAAGATGATACATTTTCGAATTTCTCAAGGTGTCTACTTTATGTGCAACAATTAAAGTTTTAGGATATTTTTCACAATGCATGGCTTAATTTGACCCAACACGGAAAACCTCACCCGGCCCGGACACGGAAAGGATTGACAGATTGATATAAGCCACCATTTTACCTGATGTTCCAGTGTATACATTCATGAATAAACCCCTAAATGTTTAGTCGCATCAAACTGTGATGTTACCAGCCCCGACAGCGATACTGGTATTGTTGTTTTCACCTCGTGAGCATTAGTGTGTGTGTCATTTTAAACATATTTGGTGCAAGATGAATATGATAAATATGTTTGCATGCCATACCGATGGTTGATAAAGAGACGTGAATACTACTGTGGTATTAATAATCAGACAACAGCTGATTTAGTAAATAAATATTGAATTTAGGCAAAATTAAGGACATTTCAGGTTACAGCATAATTTGTAAACAATAATAAAATGCATGAAGCAAAAATAATTATTTGGTATAGATTCCGTTTTGTTGTTTGACCAAAGAAAACTTGAAATGATATAACAGCAACCCTGCATGACAATCGTGACCTGAAAGTCGGACCTCTGAGATGAAAGTCTGAATTCTGAGAAAAAACGTGAGAATTCAAAAATAATTCATTTTTTTTCAGAAAATCTCAGAATTCTGACTTTTTTTCACAGGCTGACTGCAGTTCAATTAAAAATTCAAACGTTCTAATGTCATATGCTCATAAGCTACAGTGTAGAAATGGCAATGAAAATCCTAAGTCCCGAGCTTCTCCAACAATGCAACATAGTTATATAAGAAAAAGAAAAAAATACAACAAAAAAAAAGAATGTGTGCAAGAAGTCTATATACATTATACACGTAAATAAAATATGATATATACAAGAACAGAATGTACAATTAAATATTGTACAGTAAAATTAAATTAAACACGGTTTATTATAGTGATAACTATTTAGATAAATAAATTGAAAGATTGGTTGTTCCAATTGCTGATTGGAAGGTTGTGCTAGAGAAAACGTAAATAGATCACTGAAGTCATCAAATAACTTTTACTTTAACCTATGAATTAATTATTAAGGATCTTTCCAAAGATGCTTGTTGCATACCCTGTGAATGATCAAATGTTCAGGTAAACCTTTCAGAGCCATTAAAAATGGGGAAACCCCGTCTTCACAATACTTCCTTGTTTTACCTTATTGAAATCAGCATTCTTTAACCCGAAAGGCAAGTTGAAGGAGTGTGATCTCTTTTCAACCCGGTATCACGGCAAGACGTGAACATGTGACGATCTACCATGCTGGGAGACGTGAATATGTCACGGTTTCGTCCCTTCAAACGTGACAGTTACACGGTATTGTTAACATGGCCGAACCAGTGGAGAAATACCCGGAAGTGCCAAGCAAATGGTCTACCGCGCCTATTGGTCGGTTTTTATTGTCAAAATGAGATGTTTTTAATTGATTTTTTAATCGTCACACTCGATTTCGCCGATTTTCTTGTTGCCCTAGCTGGTCGACACCTCTTTTAGCAGAAACAAAGGCTACATTAATGTATTAAATCGATGTTAATCCATGTGTGTGGATCATAGACTGGTGTGGATGTGGAATTAACGGACGTGACGTTGTGCGATTGCGTTGCCAGGCAACTCTTCAACCCCTAAACATTTTAGAAGGCCTCACGAAATACTTTAATGTAAATCAAAATGTAAATGTGAAGGGATGTGTGTAATGTACTGTATGTGAAACAGACTTACTGTTGATGTGAAATCCGAAAGAAAATTTAAAAATAAAATAATACTTTATTCCGAGTTTGCTTGCTTTTCTCTTTGGATGTCATCACATAACGACATTGTAATACACGGTTCGGCTGCATTTTTATTACATATCTGCCGTAGTTCTGTATTTATAGAGCCCTGATGAGAAGACTTCTGGACAAACAGGAAGCACTGCCGCCAAAACTGAAAACGTGACGTGGATCATAAATATATCAGCAATTAAACAACATCTTACATTTCTTTTCACACAATACGTCTCCTTGCAGTATCAAAACTAATTCGGCTGACTTTTATATTTGATCCAATTGGTAGATAGGCTGTATTTACACCATAACGGTGCACAGCTGATAGAAAGGCACATCTAGTGGTTAAAGCACGTTATTGAATTTTATTATTTTATTATTTTTCACAAAAATTAATCCATCAATAGCAGAAACAGAATTAACTGTCATTAGTAAACCACCCAAAAAAAAGATCATAAGTGGTTTTGTTTTATATATATTTTAAGGATAATAATAGCAATGTAACACTGTCTATGACACTTACTGTATAACACTGATTTGAAAAACATACAGAAAAAACTAATTCACTGCCCTTAATAAAGTATTTAAATATACATTTCAGGTGTGCTGTTTTGTTTAGATCATTGACATCTGGAGCTCTTTTAATGTCCTTTTTAATACGTTTTAACCGTTTGTTTTTTAGTTCTAATTGAAACAAAAAAAAAAACAGAAACGGGTCGTTTTTTTGTTTTTCAATTTTGCCCCAAAACCAAAAAACGGAAATTCAGCTCGTTTTTTCGTTTTTCTGTTCTTACTGTTAAAACAAGTATACCACTCAATGTTTCGTTTCCATAGGTGGGTGGGTCTCCAGTGCCTCCTTGCTTCGGATTGGCTAGTTTGCCCTATGCTTGCGCTGTACTCTTCAAAATAAAGGTTCTAACTCTTTGCCTTTACACAGTGCAAAAACGACAAGCTTCTGCTATCTTTGATGAGCGATAACATTATTTTTGGCCATACGTTTTTCATAAGACTGATGAAGTTGGAATCAGTTGTAGTTACAACTATCCCAAATACTATGAAATACTTTTACTGTGTAGTTCTTGATACTCTCCTGTCAAAGTCCCCTCCATGGTACAACAATGCCTGTCTTGCTGCTATATGTGACGAGCAATACAAATACTTTTAAGTTCGAAGACTGATCATTTTGGACTCAGTAGTTAGACTACTAGCGCAAAGACTATAAAATACTTTTATTTTGTACTTTCAGAGAAATCCTCTGTCAAATTGTCCACCCTGAATACCCCATGCAGATGCTCCTGTTGTCTGTCAAACACAAGCAGAAACATTACTTTCCAAAAATGGAAAGTTATCTTGGTCCCGCTCCCCACGTGAAAAACAGGGTACGTTTAGTGCTGCTAATGTAATGAAAATGGCTAGTAGTGTTTTATTTAAATGGATATTTAGATAGTCAACTAAGAAACATAAAGTACTTGAAACGCACATTTTGGTAACAATTTTGAATATGATCATTTTCTTGAGCTTTAAACTCCTGGGGTCAAAATGACCACCAAGGATAGAGGGTGTAAAGCAAATGTGAAGATAAAGGAGGGTTAAGAATACATTATATAGCAGTTTTTTGTTTTACAATATCCTAAAGTCTATTTTTAACAAACTATTGAGTTGGCTTTTTCATTACATTTAAAATATAAATTGTACCTAAAATAATACGGAGTGAGCAGGGTATACATATTCACACCATATGCAATCATAGGATATTTTTAGTTCGAAAGATATTTGTCCAAATTGACTAAAAAATAGTACAAATGCAAAACATAAAAAAAGAAAATGTTTGGTGAGTGAAGTCCAAAGCCGTATTATAGATTATTTGATTGTGTAATTACAAGGTGAGAGAAAATAAATCCAAATTGTCCTATTAAACTTGTATTTTTCTCAGAAAAACCTTTTCTAAATTAAAGTAAATTATTTAAAAAGGTTGAATAGTTGAAATTGAATGTAAACTGTGTCAAACACCACTCCTGAAATTGACTTTGGTTGAAGTTTATTATAATATTGATATTATATAAAGATCTATATATATAACATTGATTAAGCCTTACGGGTCCCTTTTAAAATATATATATATATTGTGTAATGTTCTGGGCTTAC